TCCAACCACTGTGCCACCTCGGCTCATGAGGTACATGAGAATCTACGCTTAACCGAAACACCCAGGGAAGAACGGGGTCCAGCTAAGGGAAGGGAAATTCAACTGCCCTGTTTTGCTAATGTACAGAATGGTGCACACCCTGTTTTGGGGTGTGAAAGTATTTTCCACATGCATAAGCAGGGCATTGGCTTGTTCTTGTTCTGACCTGTCCCCTATCCCCCCCAAATCATGCAGACACCATATTCCATCATGTCATACGTCAGTTTCTTAAATTGTAAGGACTGAAACCAGAAAGTCCCAAAGGTCCTTTTTCAAGAGGCAACTGGACTTCTTTGAAGACATTTCACTTCTCCCACCCTGAAGCTTCTTCAGCACCTTCGGGATAACTATGACCTGGATGACTGAGAATCTCCATAGACACTGAGACCAGAAAGGCAGCAATTAGCAGTTCCCAAGGGGGGAACCTCTAAGCAAACGTATGTCAACTATTGCTCTCTTTTGTATATTGTACATTGTATATATGTATAATATATATTTAGCTGAAGGAATCTACTCTTGTTCATTTTGTAAAGGGCACTTTTCAAAATGATTGGAACAAATCCCAAAAGTAACACATATTATGGCAGTACATGCACATGGAAAAATAAGTGCAGATTGAAGTAGCAATAGCAATAGCACTTAGATTTATATACCGCTTCACAGTGCTCTACAGCCCTCTCTAAGTGGTTTTACAGTCATCATATTGCCCCCAACAATCTGGGTCCTCATTTTACGGACCTCAGAAGGATGGAAGGCTGAGTTAACCTTGAGCCTGATGAGATTCGAACTGCCAAATTTCAGGAAGCCAGCAGGCAGCAGAAGTAGCCTGCAGAATCACGACTAGTAGAAGTATCTAATATGCTGATACTAACTGAATAACCTCAATTATACATGTTCTAGTCTTGCTTTAATCGTATTTTCATTCACATTCAAGGTAACCCATTAGCAATGTACAATTCCCACTAAATTAAATATTGTATTGTTTCAATGCTCATGAATCATGGCCTAGCTGTAATAAAATTTTAAATTACATCTTAGTCTAGAGTCTGTGTAGGAAAAACACCACATGTATTTTTTATTGTTATATTGTTAGCTACTGAACTTATTTATATTGTTTTCCTACTTAAAACTTTAATTAAAGCATGAAAAGTGACTCGTCTTTAGCGTAAACTTCCAGGAAAATCTTAACAGTGAAAATTGACTTTTACATTTGTACAACTCAGCATACAATGAACATGTCTAGGGAGCTGGGGGGAAGTGCATCTTTAGAACAGAAGCTCACACTATTTTATTACAATGTTATTGTCTATTTTAAAAATAGATTAGACAATCCTGTATATTTTTATAATAAAGGATGCTGGAAAAAAATAGCAAATTTAACAGGACTTCCTTTGTTCTTGTCTTAAATCACCCATGAAAGTCACTAAAAGAACAGATTTTAAAGACTATATTAGAAGCTTGATTTAAAAAGGATCACAAAACTTTCGTTCATGGTACGGGATTATCTATAAGAGTGATGGCTAACTTTTTCCAGATCAATTGCCCAAATGCACGTGAACCTCCAAAATGCAATGCACACTATCCCCATGCACGTGCCTGCACCCCTGCATGCGCCCCACCCCTGTGCATGTGCATGTGGCCCCCGCATGCCCCTAAGCATGCATGCGAGCCCTCCATATGCGCCTCATCCGCCGTGCATGCACACACCAGGGGCCACATGCACCCCAACCCTCACGCATAGATGGCAGAGACCTGAAGATCAGCTGGCTGATGGGAAGAGCTCACACATGCATGGCAGAGCTGAGCTGGGTGACAGCTCGCGTGCCCACAGAGAGGGTGCTATGTGCCACCTCTTGCACGCGTGCCATAGTTTGGCCATCACGGACTTATACTGTAGCTATATTACTGATAAATTTTACATGATCAGCTTTGTGGTCACATTGGTAAAAGTTCCTCTATTCTGCTAGAATTTTGCCTTGTTGATAAGTACCAGTAGTTGTATCTGTCTCACTTTGTTTTGATTTCTATATTTTCCCGATTCTAAATTGTCCTGTGAATTAGAAAGTTGGATAAATTTTTTGAAAGAATGAATGAAAGAATTAATTAATTAATTGATTAATTAATTAATCCATTAATATTTACCCTAAACAGCTGAACTATTTTAAGCCTAACAACATTTAAAATCTTTTTTTAAAGGCAGGATAGTATTTTTAGATTACATAAGAGATAAAATCAGATTAAAAATCAAATCATCATCAGCTGTGACAAATATATTTTAAACAAAGTTTTGAAGCCCCATTTTTGGGAACCCTTCACTACCACCTTCCCCAAAAAGCACAACTGATTTAGAGGCACACAACAAAATGACACCCTCCTATCGTTTCATATTGAGAAGCTGCCCAGAACTGCAGTTTAATGTTATTAAAATATTGGCTCACTATTCAGGCTACAGTAAGTGTTCAGCATATGGAGCCAGCTGCTTAACAGGAAGGTCAACCCTGTAGAGATATGTAATGAGTTACAGTATAGTACAATTTCTTTTGTGGCTCTGAAAACACCATCAATTCCCATTATGTACTGGTATGTATCTGCAAAGAAAAAAAAACTTGACTTCAGCTTTGTCTAGTATGCTAATAAGCATTGGAGCAGGGGGGTCAAATTCAGTTATATTGAGGGCCACATCAGGGTTGTGTTTGACCTCAGGGGGCCGGGGTGGGCATGGCCAGTTCAACATCACTCCTGTTGGGGGCGCCTGTGATGGCCCAAGCTCTCCACCGGCAAAAACAGGCTCCGGAGCTCCGTTTTCAGCTACCATGGTCTCCTGCAACCCTCTGCCAATGAAAATAGTGAAAATAGAGGCCCGTTTTCACTGGCAGAGGGTTGCAGGAGGCTGTGGCAGCCAAAAATGGAGCTCGGGAGCCTGTTTTCATTGGCAGAAGCACCGTGGGCCGGTCCTTTGCTGTTTCCAAGGTGGCCCTGTGAGTTTGAGAACTGCATTAGAGAAACAATTTGGATGAATGTTTTCCCCAAAATATGTATCAGACGAAAGATGTTAGAATTTAATCTGATTTTATTTCCTGTACCATATTCATTTTTCTAGTGTTGTAAAATTAAGAATTTTTGGACACAGAACTTTTATTTTATTAAATTTGTTGCCCATCTCACTGCAAGGTGACTCTCTATACCTCCTTGCGAGCAATATCTGAACTCAACTGAGAGTTAAACATAGCGATATAGAAAATAAGCACCTTTGGTTTGTTACACCTGGAGTGGCCCTTAATTATGGCTCTATCAGAGAAGGCTGGCAGAGAGAAGGCTGGCTCTGATTAATGACCTCTCTAGACCTGCTAGATTTCAGTGTGGTATTGATGAAAGGTCATTTGTTCTTTCCTTCTGAAGTTTTTGCCTCTCCATACCTTCTGAAAAGCATTTTTCTCATGGAGTTTGAACCTCAATGTTATTTGCTCTGATTTTGGATGCAGAGTGATTAGCAACATAAGAACAATGCTAGATTTTGTCAATCTAACTGAGAATTAATTTATTTTATTGTAAGTTGCTTAAAAGTAAGGGCAGGGGTGGGATCCTACCAGTTTAACAATTGATTCGCTGAGCGCACACTTTGCACAGTTTACGCACTTTCCGCATTACTGTTGGCAAGGAAAACAGCTGAGGGGCAGCAATCCACTCTGCCACGCTGATCAGCTGGGCTTCAGAAAAGGAAATATGGGTGAGTATAGCGCAGAGGTGGGTGGGTGGGTGCACTTCAAAGTTGGATCGAACTGGTTTGCTCCCAGCTGATAGTCAGAGCTACCGGTTTGCCTGAACCAGCAGACTCCCACCCATGGGTAAGGGTAAAAGATAAAGGTAAATGATTCTCCAATCCAGTTTTATTCGACTCCAGGACGGCACCAGTGCTCATCTCTATTTCTTAGCCGAGGGAGCCAGCAATATTGGAAGATACTTCCATAGTCATGTGACCAGTGTGATTATAGGTCGAGACGCATGGAACATTGCTACCTTCCAACCAGTGGTGGGTTTCAAAATTTTTTAGAATCTCTTATGTAGGTGTGGCCTGCTTTGTGGGAGTGGCTTGCCAGCCATGNTCCCGGCCTTCCGCAAAGCCGTTAAGTCCTGGCTGCTCCAGCAGGCCGGGGGGGCTTTCGAAATATCCAGCCCCACGGTAACTGTGAATGTTGTGTATTTTTAAAGTGTTATTTTGTTTATTTATCCCCTTCTCTTGCTTATTGTAAGCCGCCCGGAGTCCTTCGGGAGTGGGCGGCATACAAGACCAATAAACATCAATAACACGTCAACATCATGGCCGCTCAGGTGGTCCCCGCCGCCACCACCAGCAGCTTGGGTGTCCCAGCTCTGTCCGAGGTGAAGAAAGTGGAGGATTGTTTGTCAGAGAAGGTGGGTGGGCAAGGCAGTGGAGCACGATGGCGGCGAGAAGCAGTCGGAAAATGAAGGTCCGAATGCCGGGGCTTCGGGGCTTCGCCAGGGCTTTCGGAAAGCTGTGCCGGGGCTTCGGGGCTTCGGTGGGGCTTTCGGAAAGCCACTGCTGGCATAGGGTGGCTTTTGCCCACTTGCCTCACCAGCCATAAACCTCACCGCACATAACTGATAATGACATACACACAGTAAAACACACACACATTTTTCATGCTATTTGTTTAATAAAAATCTGCTGTGGCAGCCACCAGTTAAATGAACATGTGTATTTACCGAATGTGAGTGTGTGTGTGTGTGTTTGTGTGTGTTTGTGTATGCATGTGTTAAAATTCTATTAGCAGCTCCTCCACCCCTCTCTTTTCTTCCTAAGTTTCTTTTTCCTTTTCTTCTACCTTTCTTACCTGATTGGTTTCATTTCTTGCTTGCCTTTCAGTTTTCACTTTCATTTCTCCTCTCTTGTTTCATTGTCAGCTCCCTCTGCCTAGTTTTAGTTTCTAACTGAAATGGGTTTCCTCCCTCCCTCCATTCTCCTTGTTAGCTTCTTTGGCTTCAGACACTTTAAATAGACCCAGACATCAAGACTGATGTCTCCTCGGTTGCCTGGGGTCTGTTTCTGGATTCTCAAGCCACCAGTTTGCTGCAGACCTTCCTGTGGAGATCTGGAATCCTTCTGTCCCCCATCTACTGGGGGTCCTGTGGTCCTTCTTCTCTCTCAATAAATTTCACTTCTTCTTTAAAGAGCACCTTTTTAAAAAAGCCTATTAGCACCATGCCTGGCTCCAAACGTTCTCGGAAACCTGCCCCAACTTCTGAAAAGGTAGGGAGGACTTTGGGGCACAATGAGCTGCCGGGAGCCGCAGCCTTGAGACCACCTCTTATACAAGGTTGTTGTGGGGATGTCTCCAGGGGCTGAAGAAAACGGGGCAGTGGGAAAGGTCATTTGTCCTTCTTGTCTTTTTTGCCCTTTGGACTTTTCAGAAAAACAGCATTGGAAGGGACCTTGGAGGTCTTCTAGTCCAACCTCCTGCTCAAGCAGCAGAGCCTATACTATTTTCAACAAATGGTTGTCCAGTCTCTTCTTTAAAAATCCCCAGAGATGGAGCACCCAAAGGTTCTGGAGGTCAACCGTCCCGTTGATTGATTGTCCTCACTGGGAGGAAATTTCTCCTTAGTTCTAGATTGCTTCTCTCTTTGTTCAGTTTCCATCCATTGCTCTTTGTCTTGCCTTCTTGGTGCTTTGGGAAAGAGGTTGATTCTTCTCTGTAACAGATTAACAGAGTTGGAAGGAACCTTGCAGGTCTTCAAGTCCAACCCCCTGCCCAAGCAGGAGACCCTACATCTGCCTCTACCTAGAGTCAAACTCACAAATTTCTCAAGATATTTTCAAGATGTTCTTCAGATATCTTGGCTGGGTTCCCAAACTTCTGGTTTGCCCATAGGACCAGATTTTTTTCGCTCCGGAGGCTTCAGGGAAGCTCCTGAATCCTCCGGAGGGCCTCTGGGAGGGGTAGGGGAGGCTGTTTTCACCCTCCCCATGCTCCTATAAAGCCTCTGGAACCTGGGGAGGGCAAAACATGGCTTTAAAAAAAGGCTTAACTCAGTTGACAGGGCGACGCCTTGC